AGTCGCAGACGTAGTCGTAGCAGCCGTAGCAGTGGTAATAGGAGTAGTCGCGGTAGTAGTAGTAGTAGTAGTAGTAGTAGTAGCAGTAGTAGTAGTAGTAGTAGCAGTAGTAGTAGTAGTAGCAGTAGTAGTAGTAGTGATAGTAGTAGTAGTAGTCGTAGTAGTAGTAGTAGTAGTAGTAGTAGTAGTAGTAGTAGTAGTAGTAGTAGTAGTAGACGTAGTGGTTGTGGTAATAGTACTCGCAGTAGTCGTCGCAGTAATAATAACAGGGGCGCTGGCAGTAGCAATAGCAGTAGCAATGACAGTCTTAGTAGCGGTAGTAGTACTCGAGGAGGATCAGAAGGAGGAGGACGGGGCGGAGCTTATTTCCCGCCGAGAGAAGCAGGGGTGGGTGGGACCCGAAACTAAAGACTTCCTGAGTTTATGCAATTGGAGGGCGGTGTGAGTGAGCGAGACGGCTTGCGCCTTGTAAGCAGGAGGTGCCCTGACCACTCCCGCATCCCCCTTCCCCCTGGGTCTGGAGGGGAGAGGCCTGCTCAGGCTGGCTCCTGCGCGGGGCCCTGGCTCAGGGGCTCGCGACATCGTGGTCGCTCATGGGTCGCGCGGTTTTTTTTTTCATGTCTGCTCAGTTCCACCTGCTGCTCGCAGTGTACACTACCTCTGTTGTTTTTGCAGGTCGCCATCGAAGGTTTGCTCGGGAGCCCGCGCGCGACGTCGTGGTCGCTCATGGGTCGCGTGGTACGTCGTCAGTTTAGTTGGAAAAAAGCAACCATCGATTCCAGCAGGGGGGTGGGAATAGGCCAGCGCATAGAGAGAGAGAATGAGAGAGAGAGAGAGAACAAAAGAAAACTAGACACAAGTAGTGAGAGAGAGTGAGAGAGTGGGAAACAGGAAGCTAGCGTGGAGGATGCGACGGGAAGGGGGAGGCGAGGGGAGACATGAGCTGGTTTCGCCGGCGCTGGTTTCGCTGGCGCTGGTTTCGCCCCGCTGGTTTCGCCGACGGCTGGTTTCGCCAGCGCTGGTTTCGCCGGCGCTGGTTTCGCTGGCGGCTGGTTTCGCCGGCGCTGGTTTCGCTGGCGGCTGGTTTCGCCGACGCGAGCCCTAACGAGCGGGTCGGGTCGGGCGGGCGGGCGGACCCTGACGGGCGGGTCAGGTCGGGCGGGCGGGACATTAAGAAGCGGGGTGCGCTCGACCGAGCACGCGCGAACCCTCACGGGCGGGTAGGGTCGTGCGGGCGGACCCTAGCGGGCGGGTCGGGTCGGGTCGGGCGGGCGGACCCTGACGGGCGGGTCGGGTCGGGCAGGCGGGACATTAAAGAATGGGGCGTGCTCGACCGAGCACGCGCGAACCTTAACGGGCGGGTCGGGTCGGGCGGACGGATCCTTACGGGCGGGTCGGGTCGGGTCGGTCGGGCGGACCCTGACGGGCGGATCGGGACGGGCGGGCGGGACATTGAACTGCGGAACGCGCTCGACCGAGCACGCGCGAACCTTAACGGGCGGGTCGGGGGGGGCGGGCGGACCCTAGTGGGCTGGTCGGGTCGGGTCGGGCGGGCGGACCCTGACGGGCGGGTCGGGTCGGGCAGGCAGGACATTAAAGAGTGGGGCGCGCTCAACCGAGCACGCGCGAACCCTAACGGGCGCGTCGGGTCGGGCGGGCGGGCCATTCAAGTGTGGGGCGCGCTCGACCGAGCACGCGCGAACTCTAACGGGCGGGTCGGGTCGGGTGGGCGGACCCTGGCGGGCGCATCGGGTCGGGCAGTTTCGCCGACGGCAGCTGGTTTCGCCGACGGCAGCTGGGTTCGCCGACAGGAGCTGGTTTCGCCGACGGAGCTGGTTTCGCCGACGGAGCTGGTTTCGCCAGGCGGCGAAACCAGCGGGGCGAAACCAGCCAGGTGATACCAGCCGTCGGCGAAACCAGCGGTCACTCGAGGGGAGAGGGCTGAGTCCCGACGCGATGCGACGCGACGCACCACCGAGCCAGGGGGATGAGGCGAGGCGACGCGATGGACGGCGGCCCGACGCAATGCGACGTGACGCACCGATGAGCCGCACCACTGGGGCGGGAAAGGTGCAACGAATTAGTCAGCAGGGTTTGCCCTAAACCTTGCACCCGCCCGTCGGAGATCGCGCGGCGACGTTTCTGAACGCTCTTCTGGGGAAGAGCTCTTGCAGGCCGTGGACGTGTTGAGGGAGTGGCGGAGGAGGAGCGATCCCCAAACGACCCCTCTGACTGCACTGACTGGAGACGGCGACGAGGACGAGGACAACGACGACGCCGAAGCCGACGCCGACGCCGACGCCGACGACGACCACGACGACGCCGACGACGACCACGACGACGCCGACGACGACGACCACGACGACGCCGACGATGACCACGACGACGACGACGCCGACGCCGACGCCGACGCCGACGCCGACGCCGACGCCGACGCCGACGACGACGACGACGACGACGGCGACGACGACGACGACGACGACGACGACGGCCGAGGCACCAGCGGGTCGGCCGCCGGGGGCGGCGCGGCGGAGGCCGCCGCGCCCAGCGAGGCGGCGAGGCCCGCGGCGACGGCCGCGGCGGCCGCGGGCTCCGAGGAGATCGACGGCGACGGCGCAGAGGCGCCCGGCGGCCGCGCGGGCGCCGCCCAGGGGGCCAGGGGGGCCTGGGGGGCACGAGGGGGCGGCCGGCGGTGCGCTTGTCGCACGCCCGGCGTGTGCGCGCGGCGTGGGGCCCCAGGGCTGGCGGTGGAAGGCCCCGAGGAGCAGCAGGCCCTCTCGCAAAAACTGGCTCGAGGGGGGCGAGGCAGCGGAAGGCACGCTTAAGGCCCTCTGGCCACGCCCCGGCGGCGCCCGCGCGACTTCCTCGGGCGGGCCCCCAGAGACCGATGGGCCACTCTTGAGAGGCCATGGAGGCCATTTTTTTTGGTCGGGGATCTTCTGACCCGGGTCAATCCAGACCCGGGTCAGCAGGAAACCAAAAACTGCAATGCAGGAAAAAAAACTGCAACGCAGGTCTTCGCAAACCCGGGTCAGCCAATATGCGCGGCCGCCCCGCGGCCACGAGCGGCTCGCTAACCCGGGTCAGCCAGAGGGGGTCTTCGCAGGATCCTGCAGGATCCGGCGCCCTGGCTGACCCGCGTCTGCACTGACCCCCTTCTCAAGGCTCCCGATTTGGGGGATAACGCATGTTGCCCGGGGAGGGGGCGTGGGGGGAGGCAACGGTAACGGGGGCCGCGGTGCGCACACCCCGAGGCGCGCCGCCGCCGTCGTCGCCGTCGTCGCCGCCGCCCAAAGCCACAGCGCCCGTGCACACAGCAAAGGGGCTCTGTATACAATGCCTCTGTGCAGCAGGGCTGCTACAGAAACAGTATGTGAGTGCAGCGCGGCGACTGTACCTGAGGTTGGGGGGGGAGATCGAAGAGGAACGGAGAGCCACCCCACCGGGAAATCGGCTTCGGCTTCGTCTTCGTGCGTGCCGTGCGTGCGGGCGGGGCGAAGCTGCGTGGGCGCGCGAGAGGAAAGTCTCCTGTGGCTGCGGCGCGGCCGGACCAAATGATTCTCCCTCCGGCAAGCGGTAGCCCGCGGTGTCCCGCCGGTGTCCCGCTTGTGGCTGGGACCCGGCCAGACCAAATGATTCTCCCTCTGGCAAGCGGTGGCCCGCGGTGTCCCGCCGGTGTCCCGCCGGTGTCCCGCCGGTGTCCCGCCGGTGTCCCGGTGTCCCGCTGGTGCGAAAACGATAGTGAGACCGATGACGAAATCGATTGTGAGATCAATAGTGAGATCGATAGTGAGACCGATAGTGAGATCGATCGTGAGATCGATAGTGAGATCGATAGTGAGATGAATAGTGATATCGATTGTGAGATCGGGTGATATCGATAGGGAGATCGATAAAAGGGGTCGGTAGCGAGATCCAGAGTGAGATCGACAGTGAAATCGATCGAGTGATATCGATAGTGAGATCGATCGAGTGAGATCGATAGTGGGATCGATGGTCTCAAGAGCGAGCGGCAGCGCAACAATCACCACTGTTGCCCATAGCTGGCCCCCCTCCCCCCCCAACCTCCTTATCACCCGCAGGGTGGTCGTATAGGTATAGCTATACGACCACCCTTCGGGTGATAAGGAGGTTGTCGAGCTTACTATCGGTCTCATTCAACGGGACACCACGGGACACTTGTCGATCTCACTATGGATTTCACTATCGATCTGAGTCAACGGGACACCACGGGACACCACGGGCCACCACGGGACACCACGGGACACCGCGGGACAGCTCTCGATCTCACTATCGGTCTCACAATCGATCTCACTATCGATCTCACTCAACGGGACACCACAGGACACCACGGGACACCTCGGGGCACCACATCGATCTCAGTATCGATCTCACTATCGGTCTCCCTATCGATCTCGCTCAACGGGACACCACGGGACACCACGGGACACCTGTCGATCTCACTATCGATCTCACTATCGATCTCACTTTCTGGGAAACCACGGGACACCTCGGGGCACCACATCGATCGCAGTATCGATCTCACTATCGATTTCACTATCGATCCCACTATCGATCTCACTATCGATCTCACACAACGGGACACCACGGGACACCACGGGACACCACGGGACACCACGGGACACCGCGGGACACCGCGGGACACCGCCGGACGGGCGGGAGGGGGAGAGTCATTTGCCTCGCCTTCGCCCTAGCAACGGCGGACACCACGGGACACCATGGGACACCACGGGACATTGCGGGACACCGCGGGACACCGCGGGACACCGCTGGACGGGCGGGCGGGGGAGAATCATTTGTCTTGACTTCGCCCTAGCAACGGCGGATTCATTCCTCTTGCGCGCCCACGCAGCTTCGCCTCGCCCGCACGCACGACACGAACGAAACGAAACGAATTCCCGGTTGGGGGTCTCCGTTCCTTTTCGATCTCACCCCCCAACCTCCGACCACAACAACCGCGTGCACCACGACGCATGTGTACATCGCGCGATCTGCGCACGCCACGGCGCCTGCGTGCACCACAGCCGCTGCTTCAGCACCCCCTGTGCACCACAGCGCCTGCGCACACCGCAGAGTTCGTGTACGCCTGAAGGCAATACCGACGGGGCCAAGCTCAAGAAAATCTTCGGGGGCCCGAACGCATCAACTTCAATATGTAACTTATTGTGATTATTGATTTGTCTGGCCTCGGGTGCGGTACCCACGTTTTTGGCCGACCATGTTTGTGTACACCACAGCGCCTGTCTAGCGTGCGCCACGGCGCCTGTCTAGCGTGCGCCACGACGCCGTTGTACACCATAGCTGCTTGTGTACATCGCAGCACCTGTCTACACAACAATGCCTGTGTACACCACAGTGTCTGTGTAGACAACACCCGTGTGCACCACAGCGCCTGTGTACACTGCGGTGCTTGTGCACACTACAGGAGCCACGTGCACCACAACGCATGGCAAACATTTGCGCCACAGCGTTTCCGTGCACCTCCAAGGTCCCGCCAAGGCCCAAATCTGGAAAATCGTCGGGGGCTCGAACGCATCAACTTCAATATGTAAATTGTTTGTGATTATTGTTTTTTTCTGGCCTAGGGTGCGGTACCCCTGTTGTTGGCCGACCATGTTCGTGTACACCACAGCGCCTGTCTAGCGTGCGCCACGGCGCCTTTGCACACCACAGCTGCTTGTGTACACCGCAGCGCCTGTCTACACAACAATGCCTATGTACACCGCAATGCTTATGTACACCACAACACCCGTGTGCACCGCAGCGCCTGTGTAAACCACACACACACACCGCCTGTGAACACGACGACGCCTATGTGCACCACGATTGCTGCTTCAGCACCATACTCGTGCAAAAAAGTTCTGGTGCAACAAACTGTGTGTACTCCACAGAACTGCGTACACGCCCAGGGCCCCCGGCTGGACCGAACTCCAGAAAATCGTGGGGAACCCGAACGTATCAAATCCAATATGTAAGCTATGTGCGATTATTGATTTCTTGTGCGCAGGGAACCCCGTCTTTTGGGCCCACAACGCCTGTGTACACAAAAGCGAATGTGTGCACAGCAGCGGATGAATACACCACAGCGCCTGTGTACACCACAAGGTGTGGTGCACCGCAGTGACAGTGCACCACAGTGCTCCCGTACACCACCATGCCTGGGAAGGCTGCGTGCATGATAGCTGATGTGACAGCAGCATTTGTGCACGCCACAAAGCCTGCCTTTACCATATTGCCTGGGTGCATCACGATGCCCGCGTCCACCGCGCGACCTACGTGCACCTATGCTTTCGTGCACCACAACGCCTGCATACACAGCAGATCTTACTGCAACAGCAGCGCATGCGCACACCAAATCGCCTCGCTGCCTGTGCACAACGCAATGCCTGTGTACGCGCTGTTCACGTGCACGTCCAGATGCCTATGGACGACGTCGGTCGTCGTCGGTCATTGGTGTCGTCGTCGTCGTTCGTCGTCGTCTATCTTATCTATCTTCGTCTGTCGTCGTCTGTCGTCTGTCGTCTGTCGTCTGTCGTCCGTCGTCTGTCGTCTGTCGTCTGTCGTCTGTCGTCTGTCGTCTGTCGTCTGTCGTCTGTCGTCTGTCGTCTGTCATCTGTCGTCTGTCGTCGTCGTCGTCGTCGTCGTCGTCGTCGTCGTCGTCGTCGTCGTCGTCGTCGTCGTCGTCGTCGTCTCCCCATGCCACTCCAAGCCCCAAAGTTTCGCCAACGTGCATCCAAACACCAGCATGCTGTGGCGAACACCACCGCGCCGTTGAACACAGCGTTCCCTGCAAGCTCCCGGCGCCCCCCCCGGACCTGGACAACCGGCTAGGTCAGGTTATCCTGGGGCGGGGAGGGGGGGGGGGCGAGCCCGATAACCCGGGTTATGGCCAGACCCTGGGCGTGTACCATAGTGCACGCCCGCGTGCACAACAGACCCTAGGCTGCCCGGGATCGCGCGATGGATCGGGGCCGGGGCGTTACCGCTACGGGGGGGGAAGGCATCCCTTGGGTGGATAACAAAAATAATCTCATGGCCCCTCGCCCGCCCTGCCCCTGCTGAGAGGGGGCCGCGGGGCGCCGCCCATTGCCCTTTTGCGGTCAAGGATTGTTGTTTGCGGCCAGGGAGCCCCAAAGGGATAACCATGGACTGTCGGAGGTCCGTGCGGATTTCTCGGATTGGCGATGGAGGCCCCTGGCGGCGCCTCCAGCGCCGCCCCTGGTGCGCTCCGCGCGCCGGGGAGGGGGTCCAGCGCCGATCCAAGAAATTCGCGCGGAGCTCCGAAGGTCTTTGTTCATATCACGATCTGGTCCTCGGTGCCTGGCGCGTCGCGGCGGCGGCCCCTGCCGCACGCTGCGTGGCCTGCGAGCTGGTGGCGTGTGCCGCTCTGCTTCGTGGGGCGGGAGGCTGGGAAGAGCTCGGGGCGGCGATTCTGTGTCGCTGGCGGCGTTCAACTCTGAACCCTGGAAGCGGGGTCGCCGCCGATCGACACGACGCGAACCTACCGCATCTTGAGCGGAGGCCGACCCTCCCGGCATACCTATAG